CAGAACACCTGAAGAACCTGCCGCCAGTTCTCATCAACACCCTGGCTCGGCTCTTCACTCGCTACCTGACAGAATGCAAGGTCCCTATTCAATGGAAAACCAGCAAGACCGTATTGTTGTTCAAAAAGGGAGACCTTCACGACATAGGCAGTTATCGCCCAATCTGCTTGCTGTCCGTTGTCTATAAACTCTTTACTCGAGTCATCCTGAACAGGATTGACAGAACACTGGAGGAAGGACAGCCATGCGAACAAGCAGGGTTCAGAAAAGGATTTAGTACCATGGACCACATCCACACGATCACAAGACTCATTGAAGTTTCGCGAGAGTACAAACAACCACTCTGTCTCACTTTTATCGATCTGAAAAAGCCTTTGATTCAGTGGAAACAGAAGCGGTTATAGAGGCTCTGGATAACCAGGGCGTCCCTACTCGGTACATAATGATCCTTCGTGAGCTTTATAAAGATTTCACGACCAGAATATCTCCATTCTACAACAATATCACCATTGACGTAAGAAGAGGGGTTCGACAAGGCGATACAATATCGCCAAAACTATTCACTGCCACCCTACAAAACGTCATGCGAACATTAGAATGGGACGAAATGGGAGTGAAAATTGACGGTCGACAATTAAACCATCTTCGCTTTGCTGACGATATCGTTCTCATAACACCAAACATCAGCCAAGCGGAACGAATGTTGACTGATTTCGATAACGCCTGTGGAAAGATCGGTCTTCAACTGAATCTAACGAAAACAATGTTCATGAGGAACGGATGGGTTTCTAATGCCCCATTCACGCTCAACGGAACGACAATTTCCGAATGCTCCAGTTACATCTATCTAGGTCGTGAAATCAACATGATGAACGACCTAGCCCCAGAGTTGAGCAGGAGGAAACGAGCGGCTTGGGGAACGTTTAAGAGCATCGAAGATGTAGTGAAGAGGACAAAGAACATCCGACTCCGTGCCCACCTTTTCGACTCGACAATTATCCCTGCCCTGACGTATGCAGCAGAAACGTGGTCGCTACGTAAGCAGGATGAAAGATCACTTGCCGTTATCGAACGCGCAGTCGAAAGGTCGATGCTAGGAGTATCTCGTATTTCGCAAATGAGACAAAGGATCCGAACTTCCGACCTACGTCAACGATCGGAAATCAGAGACGCCGTTCTACACGCCAGGATATCGAAAATAAGGTGGGCCGGAAACGTGATGCGCTTCAACGACAACCGATGGACGAGAGCCGTTACCGACTGGATTCCTCGGAACGTCAAGCGCTCTAAAGGAAGACCACTGACCCGTTGGTCCGATTTCTTCACGAAAGCGATGGAAGAAAGATATGATGCTCAGCGAATTCCTAGAGCAAGGAGGACCCGCTGGGCTACTCTTGCACGCGATAGGGAAAAATGGAAGAGTTGCTGGTACCCGCTCGAGTCACTCGACGATCAACGGGACGACAGGTGATACAGGTGATATGCATATAGTATGCATATATATATATATATATATATATATATATGTATAGGGTGCATAGGGTGAATAGGGTGATGTATAAGGTGTACAGGGTATATGTATATATGCACATGCATGGGGTGATATAAGGTGCGCAAGTTCTGCCAGTTTTCTCAGGTTTCTCAGAACTTAAAAAATACAGCATGAATGAATGAAATCATTAAGTAAAAAGAATATTTACGCCTATTAGATGAGAACTTATAACAATAAACAATAGAGTTTAAGGCAAAATGCCTCCTTCGGCTTCTATACATTCACGAAGTCCCGAAAATTTCAACAATGCTCGGATACGTTTCCACAGCAATGTAGTCCCAAAGGCGTGTCATAGTCTCTCTAAACGATTCTGATCTAGTGTAACGAGTAGTCGAGACTATCCTCCTGTATGGACCATGCGAAGTAATCCAATGGGTTGATATCTGGCGACTTTGACGGCCAAATGACCTTGAGCCAAAAGTCTGGAAACTGCTCTTGACAGATGGCAATCGCTGAACAGGCCAAATGCTCGAGAGTCCACTCTCGCTAAAGAGTAAATCCGTCGACGCTAAAGTGTTGTGTACTCAATGACTAAAGTGAGCACCGTCGAATTTGCTGGTGATCACTCACAGCGTTAATTTTGACGTTTCCGCCGATGAAGACCGATGGCGCCCTTCCGGTGGCGCAAAAGCCGGCTCAGACCATCAAAGAAACGCGTAAATGACTGCAACCCATGATTTTTGCTACTGTAGAGTTTTGCCGAAATGTTTTGAAAAGCCACGTGGATTTTGCGACTATAAGGTGGTTTGACCGCTAATATTTTTTCATCTGTAAAGAGCACCTCCGACGAGTTCCAACTATCAAACGGATCAATCGACGAGCCTTTAAATTTCGATTTTCAACCATCTTTTTGTTCAGAAGGTGAACGTAGGCAATCTTGCAGCTGCGTAACTTCAGTCCATTTTTGACAATGTTTCGGACAATCCGCTCGCTGATTCCGAGATTCCCTGTCATTTTGCACAACGAACGCCTCGCATTTTGTTGAACTTAGCAACGGTTCTTCTAAATGTTATCCGAAGTAAGCGAGGTGGTTGAGCAGCCTTTTCGAGAACGATCCTCGATCCCTTCAATCCCTCAGAAACGTTTCACGGCTCTGTGCACATTTGCTGGTTTGAAACTAGTCGATTTTAACAATGTCAATCGTTTTCATTCGGGTCTTGTACGACTCAACTACTGCCATGAGTTGATTTGTGCGATTCATAACTTGAGAAAAACTACAAATAAACAAATAAATAAAACATATTCCAGACTAAATCGAACAAAGAATTTGCTAAAATTACCATCATCGGAATCAATGGTATTCTAATGCATTTCGCATTGTTATGATATTTTCTATATACCTAAGAGAATTAAGTGGTGAGCAAAAACGCGGCCTCAGGCGGGAATCGAACCCGCGCTTCATCCTATCCGGGGACGCGTGCTCTAATCACTACACCACCGAGGCACATTTGCCCGACCACTCATTCTTCAACATCTCAATGTTAGCTATGTTTTTGCCCACCACTCAATTCTCTTAGGTATTACCATCATCAATGAAAAAGTTATATATCAATTTAAAATTGACAAAATACAAAATTGGCAGATCTTTTTACGCATATTATACATCTATTTTTTTATTTAATTTCTGTTTACACTACTGTGGCGTTCTATAAGGAGTTTTTGTTGACTGACGGAGAGTGCTGGGAAGTGAAGCTCTGCTCCACCGGAGCCGTGACTAGTATCACAACCACTCTGCCACGGCGCCCCCATATATATTACCTGTATCACCTGTCGTCCCGTTGATCGTCGAGTGACTCGAGCGGGTACCACCAACTCTTCCATTTTTCCCTATCGCGTGCAAGAGTAGCCCAGTGGGTCCTCCTCGCTCTAGGGATTTGCTGAGCATCGTATCTTTCTTCTATCGCTTCCGTGAAGAAATCGGACCAACGGGCCAGTGGTCTTCCCTTAGAGCGCTTGACGTCCCGAGGAATCCAGTCGGTAACGGCTCTCGTCCATCGGTTGTCATTGAAGCGCATCAAGTGTCGGGCCCGCCTTATTTTCGATATCCTGGCGTGTAGAACGGCGTCTCTGATTTTCGATCGTTGACGTAGGTCGGAGCTTCGGATCCTTTCTCTCATTTGCGAGATACGGGATACTCCTAGCATCGACCTTTCGACTGCGCGTTCGATAACGGCAAGTGATCTTTATCCTGCTTACGTAGCGACCAGGTTTCTGCTGCATACGTCAGGGCAGCGATAATTGTCGAGTCGAAAAGGTGGGCACGGAGTCGGATGTTCTTTGTCCTCTTCAGTACATCTTCGATGCTCTTAAACGTTCCCCAAGCCGCTCGTTTCCTCCTGCTCAACTCTGGAGCTAGGTCATTCATCATGTTGATTTCACGACCTAGATAGAAGTAACTGGAGCATTCGGAGATTGTCGTTCCGTTGAGCGTAAACGGGGCATTAGAAACCCATCCGTTCCTCATGAACAGTGTTTTCGTTACATTCAGTTGAAAACCAATCTTTCCACAGGCGTTATCGAAATCGGTCAACATTCGTACCGCTTGGCTGATGTTTGGTGTCATGAGAACGATATCGTCAGCAAAGCGAAGATGGTTTAATTGTTGACCGTCAATTTTCACTCCCATTTCGTCCCATTCTAATGTTCGCATGACGTTTTGTAGGGTGGCACTGAATAGTTTTGGTGAAATTGTATCGCCTTGTCGAACCCCTCTTCTTACGTCAATGGTGATATTGTTGTAGAATGAAGATATTTTGGTCGTGAAATCTTTATAAAGCTCACGAAGAATAATTATATACCGAGTAGGGACGCCCTGGTTATCCAGAGCCTCTATAACCGCTTCTGTTTCCACTGAATCAAAGGCTTTCTTCAGATCGATGGAAGTGAGACAAAGTGGTTGTTTGTACTTTCGTGAAACTTCAGTGAGTCTTGTAATCATGTGGATGTGATCTATAGTGCTAAATCGTTTTCGGAACCCTGCTTGTTCGCATGGCTGTCCTTCGTCCAGTGTTCAGTCAATCCTGTTTAGGATGACTCGAGTAATGAGTTTATAGACAACGGACAGCAAGCAGATTAGGCGATAATTGCCTATGTCGTGAAGGTCTCCCTTTCTGAACAATAATACGGTCTTGCTGGTTTTCCATTGAATGGGGACCTTGCATTCTGACAGGTAGCGAGTGAAGAGCCGAGCCAGGGTGTTGATCAGAACTGGCGGGAGATTCTTCAGATGTTCTGGTCTAATCCTGTCTGGACCGGGTGTTGTTGTGTTCTTCACCGACGATGTAGCATGTCTCATTCCCCATATATATATATATATATATATATATATATATACATATATATATATACATATATACATATATACTCCAAAAGTTGGTGTTTTTACTGCTTTCTTCGCAGTGTTATGATGTCACATATATTTATGAAATTGAGTGGTGGGCAAAAACATGGCCTCATGAGGGAATCGATCTCGCATTTCATCCATACTGGGGAAGTGTGCAACTACCACTGCACCAGCGAAGCACATTTGCGTGTGCCACTCGTTCCTCAACATCTTTCTGTTAGCTGTTAGCTACCAACCATCAACAGGTTTGGTCGGAATATGCGATTTCGTTTCATAAACTTAGTTCAGCTGACAGCCATTGTGATACAAAAATTTGAAATTCCTAGTATTTTTACGTAGAGCACGCGTCCCAGTATGGATAAAACGCGGGTCGATTCCCGCCTGAGGGCGTGTTTTTGCTCACCACTCAATTCTCTTTATATATAAATATATATTATATATATAAATGTATATATACTACGATTCGAAAGAAAGAAAGCACTTGATAAGCATGCGATAGCTCTCATGCATATCATGGAACAAATACAGTTTCTTATGTGGGATTTTCCTATTAAAGGTCTAGGTAATATTCGTCTGAAGGAGAAGTACCCGCCTCTAGTCAAGCGAAAGCGTGTTTTGATGCAGTTAAACAATGCCAGACCGTTGAGTGCCAAAAAGACCAAAGACAAGCTTGGTGAATTGGACGGAGTCGAGGTTCTGCAGCATCTCGCACGCAGTCCAGATTGCCCTTTTATGGACTTCCGCCTTTTTGGATCCACGCAAAACTCTTCGAAGAATCGCCAATTTGAATCTTTTGATAAAGTTGAAGAAGCATGTCAAGGGTTCTTTGACAAGCAGTCGAAGGAATGGTACTTCGACCACACCTGTAACTTAGCGGACCGATGGCAGAAAGTCGTAGGAAGTGATGGCCCTTATTTTGGAGAATAGATGCAAAATGGTTACAATATGAGTCTTCTGGCAGCAAATCGCATTCATGACATGAGCATCTTTGGTGACTACATACTTCACCGTTTTGTCTTATTTATTTGTCTTATTTACTTTCACTTACGAAGAATTGCTTTTGTTTACTTGCTAACTCGTAGAATTTTTAGCGTTGTAGGATAATTTTCAATTATAGAAGCAACGATGTAAGCGTTGACAAAAAAGAAGAAAAAGACGCATTCTAAAGAATTTTTGGATTTAATTATGAAAACTTAGATTTATAACCTTCCAATTTTTCACGACTTTCACTGTTCTTCGTTATGGATTTTTATTTGTTATGATCCTGTTAAGAGCGCATGTGGCACAGTGGTTAGAGTTGTTCTGCGTCGCACACGAGGTCAGTGGTCCGATCTCGCGTTCTTGGCTCACCAAGCCATCCATCTCTCCTGAGTCGGTAAATTGATACCAGACTGGTCTCAGACTTGTCTGGGAGGATAAGCAGCACTGACTTGGTTCAGTGAGAGGCCTCCGCGAGTCATTGTAAAGGCCAGATATGCATTCAATCACCTCAAACAAAGTTAAAAATTGAAGACGAATACATGGCTCATCCCTCAAAGATTGGTCAACACCCAGAGCTTTATCCTTCTTTTTATCGATGATGATGTGAACTTTCCCCATATATACTGTGTTCGTAGCAACATCACTTTGTGTTTAGCAACATTTCAATGGTTATCTGCGTGATGTACTTATTTCCTTGCTATAACTTGACTAGAGCTGATTCTTTCCTCTAGCATCGAGACAAAGTTTCCAATACTAAATGATGACAAGCATACACAAAGTGGCTATTTCGGGCCACTGTTTACACTCTAGTCAGTCTTGCCTCCTAGCTGTTGCTGGAATAATGATGTATGCAGCCAAGTTTGGCGAGCCTTCAATGACAACACTGAATGGTACCTCGGCAGTAGATCAGTAGATGAAGACTCTAGCTGGGCAACCCTTTCAAGTTCCTTGTATAGCGCAGACATTTTTGCATTCAATTTCTTTCATTTCATGCAAATGGAAACCACTACCACTAGAATGCCCTGTTCAAATATTTGATCTCGATCAAAGCTTGTGAACATGTTTAGGTAAAAAATCTTGATGGGAACAAGAAGATTAGGAATCAACAGTGATAATGATGGACTTTTCCACAAAACGCTATGAGTATGCCGTCAGTAGATCAAAGACATTGGTGTGATGGCACAAATGGATTATTGCATAACTTCTCACAGAATTAGGTCGAATTTACAAGTGAAATACGAGCCATAAATATAAATACCACACAGTTCATCTAAAATGAAGTGCTACACAAGCACTCAACCCTAGGAAGCAGTTGAACCCGCGTTTCACCCCTACCCAGGACGCGTGCTATCACTACACCACCATGGCCATCGCTTTGCGACCACTATTTCTTCTACATGAATTATCGAAACTGTCAGCAACCAACCATCAAGGTCAGGTGAGCAGATATCGGCATTGTATTCAGTAGAGCTGACAGATTTTTACAAAGGTATAATTTAAATTCTTTTGATTCGAGTGCTTTATAGCCGTGGAATGATTGAATATTTACCTGAAAAGACTCAATACAAGTGTAAAAAAACAACAGAAATTCCAGTTAGGATTGATTACGTTAGTCAGAGAGAAGAATATACTGTATAAAGTATTAGCTTGATACGTCGTCTGATACATAGAATGTTTTCCGTAAATTCATGATTACAATCGTCTTCTCTTCCAAAAGGTTTGCGAATATCAAATTAGCGACGAAATTTTTGAACACATATGAACATAATGGCCTAACTAACAACACAGAAAGAAAACACTATCAAACCAAGGCAGCGAAGAGTGGAGAAAAGTTGGCCAAACCACAAATGTTCACATGGTAAGAGTTGCTAAACTTATAAATAATGTCGAGAACGCTAGTGATTAAAAGAAATAGATTTAAGGTACCAATATTACTTATTATCGAATCTTCACAATCTGTAAACTATATCAACCTATGGTGTGAATATGCCCAGCTCTACTCGATAGAGTGGATACTTCACTTGTTTAAAAGTTTACATATTCGGAACCTCCTCTGTCCTCGTATTGTCTCTGCTCAATGAACACTCCCTGTACGATCATTACCACGCCAGTCAACATAACGACAACAAGATATCTCAACAGTTACGCACTGGTAGTCGAAAATTAATCGACTCATGAAAAAAGTCCACTATCCTACTCTAGGAATGTATTACCTTGAGTTATATCGATGTTTGTTCGGATTCGCGGCTTTACTGTTGAGATTATAGGACTTTTTGGAAACAGGCTGCTGCTCAGATGTTCACAACAATGAGGAATCCGTCAATTGTTAGTCAATATATTATGGACGCATAAACGACGTCGCGTTATGAAACACAGACAACACTACGATAGCCTACCTATTTTACCGTTTTGACTGTCTAAATATGCAAAATGCATGGGTTTAAACAAGATTTCCAACAGTTGTTATCTGTTGCGAAGGTCACTGACTATGGTACGCCTTCATATGTGCGCGATCTGCGATTTCCATTTTCTAATGAAAAGCTCTTGCTCAGTTACAATCGAATCGATTACAAACATATAACCATATCTGCTACGTAATTCGATGACCATCCCTTTCATTCATAGAAACAGAAAAAAGTTCTACTTAGCTCCAATGAGAAAGCTTCATATATATCAGTTCATTACCACATCTAAAATATTCACACAACTTTGCTTTGCTTCATAATTGTTCGTCGTTTGAATCTCCGTCAGTCTTGTTGGAATTAACTTAAAAGATTCTTTTTTCAAACAACAGGCAGGTCTGACAACAGGGATACAGTGATTTTTCTCTATATCTGCGTAACAGTTATTCTAGAAATATATCATAAATGAACATAGTGGATCTTGAATGGACGAAGACTGAAGTTACTTCAGATTTTACGCTCCAGTCCCCTCTAGGTTCGCCGCTATACAATTTTTTTTAGCAACATGGTGCTTTATCGAGCTCAGAAAGGAAAATATCAAGAATTCGAAAGCGATAGATCTTCAGGCTGCACCTGAATTGATATTCAAGTCGACCACAAAGGCATCGAATTAAGTGGAAGATGTACTGAAGTCCGAAATATATGTTAACACAAGTCATTTTTGACACTGCGCCCCTATGGGTGTTATAGCGCCAATGAATTGACCTCTTCTCTGGCCTGTATTGTTTCTCAACATTGAGGACGAACTATAAAGAAGAAGGAGAGCCGCATGGCGGCATTCGAGCCTCTCAAAGAATTCATCGACCAAATGGCTGACACCAAACTCCGCGCACGCTTCCACGATTTAGCAGTCCTCACAGCAATATGTTGTGCCCCAGAGATGAAGATTAGTACCATAACCAAAGCAAGAATCCAGCGCACTAATCACTGAGCCCATATTCTTCTGGCATACAGTAGGCTTTCACATCGAAATATACACACCGACTGCGATTCATGCAGGGCCCGGACACATATTAAGAATAGTCAGATGACAGACGGACGAGAAAACAGGGAAGTAGATTCCAAAAGAATGCAAACGTTATCTCGGAAGACCATCCAAAGATGGGAGTGCTTGTTGTGGTAAACGGTCGCTATCTGCATGAATGGATAGAAGCGAATTTAGAATTACAGAATGGACCTCAAACGCATCATCTTGTTTCAAAACAATCCACCACCATGAACGACAGTTTACGAGCGAGAAACAAATGGAGACTACACTGTGGAGAACGAGTGTCTTGCAATGCATGATAGGATCCATCTTTTCCAAGTCCCACGGGAAATGAATATGGGTTCCAGTGCTTGCATAGCTATAGCGTTGTAACCGCACGCACACTTCCGACCTAGCGATTTGTGTAAAGTTCTCACGTGAAACCAATTAAAACGAGCGAAATATTGCTACTGGCTTTGGCCTTCAAAAAATATGCAGTTTTCATCAAAGCCTTCGTAGATTAATAAAAAGTGCAAGCTTTTGTGGTACGTTGCAACTTTCTTGGCTTGATGAAATGTGAAGAACAATCTGTGGCTAGAGTAGTCATAAGGGGCACCGTGGTCGAATGGTTGTGATGCACGTCGCGAAGCCCAAGGGAGCGAACCTCACCTCTGCCCCAGTTCTCTCTGGCAGTCAGTAACGAACGTTCTATAAAACGCCACAGCTAGATTATATTCAAGATTGCAAGCAAGGCACGCAACCAGTGTTC